AGAGAAAGAAAAACAAAAATAAAAAAAAAAAACAAAGTTTGCAGAAGGAAAGAAATCATAAAGATCAGATCAAAAATGAAGGGAAGAATAGCAAAAATCAGTAAAAGTAAAGCTGATTCTTTGGGAAAAAAAGAATTCATAAACCTATAGCCAGACTCATCACACAAAAAACAGAAGACTCAAATCAACAGAATTAGAAATGAAAATGAAGGAACAACTGACACTGCAGAAATATAAAGGATCATGAGATTACTACAAGCAACTATATGCCAATAAAATGAAAAACCTGGAAGAAATGGAAAAATTCTTAGAAAAGTAATACCTTCCAAGACTGAACCAGGAAAAATAGAAAATATGAACACACCAATCACAAGCGCTGAAATCGAAACTGTGAGTAAAAATCTTCCAACAAACAAAAGCCCAAGGCCAGATGGCTTCACAGGTGAATTCTATCAAATATTTAGAGAAGAGCTAACGTGTATCCTTCTCAAACTCTTGTAAAATATAGCAGAGGGAGGAACCCTCCCAAACTCATTCTATGAGGCCACCATCACCCTGATACTAAAACCAGACAAAGATGTCACAAAAAAAGAAAACTGTAGGCCAATATCACTGATGAACATAGATTCAGAAATCCTCAACACAGTACTAGCAAACAGAATCCAACAGCACATTAGAAGGATCACACAGCAGGATCAAGTGACGTTTATACGAAGAATGCAAGGATTCTTCAATATAAGCAAATCAATCATTGTGATTCAGCATATTAACACATTGAAAGATAAATCCATGTGATAATCTCAATAAATGTAGAAATAGCTTTTGACAATATTCAACACCCACTTATGATAAAAACTCTCCAGAATGTGGGCCTAGAGGGAACCTCCTCAACATAATAAAGGCTATATATGACAAACCCACAGCAAACAGCTTTCTCAATGGTGAAAAACTGAAACCATTTCCCCTGAAATCAGGAACAAGACAAGGTTGCCCATTCTCACCATTATTCACCATAGTTTTTGAAGTTTTAGGCACCACCATCAGAGAAGAAAAAGGAATAAAAGGAATCCAAATCGTAAAAGAAGTAAAACCATCACTGTTTGCAGATGACATGATACTATACCTAGAGAATATTAAGGATGCTACCAGAAAACTACTAGAACTAATCAATGGATTTGGTATAGTAGCAGGATATGAAATTAATGCACAGAAGTCTCTTGCATTCCTATACAGTAATGACAAAAAATCTGAAAGAGAAATTAAGAAAACACTCCAATTTACCACTGCAACAAAAAGAATAAAATACCTAGGAATAAACCTACCTAAAGAGAAAATGACCTATACAAAGAAACTGTAAGAAACTGATGAAAGAAATTAAAGATAATACAAACAGATGGAGAGATATACCATATTCTTGCACTGCAAGAATCAACATTGTGAAAATGACTGCACTACCTAAAGCAATCTACAGATTCAGTGCAATCCCTATCAAACTACGAATGACATTTTTCACAGAACTAGGACTGAAAATTTTACAATTTGTATGGAAACAAAAAGACCCCGAATAGCCAAAGCAATTTTGAGAAAGAAAAATGGAGCTGGAGGAATCAGGCTCCCTGACTTCAGACTATCCTACAAGGCTATGGTAATCAAGACAGTATGGTACTGGCACAAAAAATAAAAATATAGATAAATGGAACAGGATAGAAAGCCCAGAGATAAACCCACGCACATATGGTCACCTTATCTTTGATAAAGGAGGCAAGAATATACAATGTAAAAAAGACAGCCTCTTCCTTAAGTGGCCCTGGAAAAACTGGAGAACTACATGTAAAAGAATGAAATTAGAACACTTCCTAACACCATACACAAAAATAAACTCAAAATGGATTAAAGACATAAATGTAAGGCCAGACACTCTCAAACTCTTAGAGGAAAACATAGGCAGAACACTCTATGACATAAATCACTGCAAGAGACCCTTTGACCCACCCCACCTCCTAGAGAAATGGAAATTGAAACAAAAATAAACAAATTGGACCTAATGAAACTTAAAAGCTTTTGCACAGCAGAGGAAATCATGAACAAGACAAAAAGACAACCCTTAGAATGGGAGAAAATAGTTTCAAACCAAACAACTGACAAAGGATTAATCTCTGAAATATACAAGCAGCTCATCCCACTCAATATCAATAAAACAACTCCATCCAAAAATGGGCAGAAGACCTTAATAGACATTTCTCCAAAGAAGGTATACAGATTACCAACAAACACATGAAAGAATGCTCAACATCACTAATCATAAGAGGAATTCAAATCAAAATTACAATGAGGTACCCCCTCACACCAATCAGAATGGCCATCATCAAAAAATCCACAAACAATAAATGCTGGAGAAGGTGTGGAGAAAAGAGAAGCCTCTTGCACTGTTGGTGGGAATGTAAATTGATACAGTGACTATGGAGAACATTATGCAGGTTTCTTAAAAAACTAAAAATAGAACTACCATATGACCTAGCAATCCCACTACTGGGCATACACTGTGAGAATACCATAATTCAAGAAGAGTCATGTACCACAATGTTCATTGCAGCTCTATTTACAATAGCCAGGACATGCAAGCAACCTAAATGTCCATCAACAGATGAATGGATAAAGAAGATATGACACATATATACAATAGAATATTACTCAGCCATAAAAAGAAACGAAATTGAATTATTTGCAGTGAGGTGGATTTACCTGGAGTCTGTCATACAGAGTGAAGTAAGTCAGAAAGGGAAAAACAAGTACCATATGCTAACACATATATATGGATTTAAAAAAAATGATTCTGATGAACCTAGGGGCAGGACAGGAATAAAGACGCAGACACAGGACTTGAGGACACAGGGAGTGGAAAAGGTAAGCTGGGACGAAGTGAGAGGGTACCACTGACATATATATGCTACCAAATGTAAAATTGGTAGTTATTGGGAAGCCACCACATAGCACAGGGAGATCTGCTCTGTGATTTGTGACCACCTACAGTGGTGGGATAGGGAGTGACAGAGGGAGACGCAAGAGGGAGGGGATATGGGGATATATGTATGCATATAGCTGATTCCCTTTGTTATACAGTAGAAACTAATACAACATTGTAAGGCAATTATACTCCAATAAAGATGTTAAAAAAATAGCAAAAACTACCACAAACCTACAGCAGAGCAACAACAATACAACACACACACACACAAATAAAGAAAAAAAAAATAAAAATACCAATAGAACAAAGAAACAAAAGAATTTAAAAATGAGAACAGTCAGGACTAGACTAACAAACAAAAAATTAAAAATAAAAATATAGAGCAAACAAATAATGCAAAAAAACATAAAATATACACATAAAACAATCAAAAAAATGAAAATAAAGTAAAAAACAAAGAACACAAGAAAAAACTCTAACACAACAAAAAAGTAAATTAAAAATAGAAAAATAAATATATATCTTAAATTTTTTTAATTAAAATTAAAAATAAAAGAAAAAATAATAAATGCAACACCACCAACAACTGAATAAAATGAAACAAACAAGAAAGAATAATAGTAATAATCATATTTTCCTGGGGCCTCCTCTGTCAGCATCCTTGCTCCCACAGTGAGCCAGAGCCAATCTCCACCTCCCCTGGAGGCCCTCCAATACCTATAGGTGGGTCTCTGGACCTGCTGTGGTCACTGTGGGGACAGCTCACACTCTAACCTGGCCCAACTCCCACGTTTACTTACCCCCATATTCCACTCCTAGGAAGGCTAAACCAGTCTCTGTTGTGGGACCACTCATCTATTCAGGTATTCCACAGACACAGGATTTACCAAGCTGATCTCGGGGATTTAATCTGTGGCTTGTGCAGCTGCACAGAAAGATTTCTGTTTGTGTTCCTTAGTTGCACTGCCCCTGGGGGTTCCAGCAGTTATTTGCCCATTTGGCAGAAGTTCTAGTGTTAGTAAATGGATTTTCATTACTATACAGTCTAGGTGCTCTTTATTTTATTTTTATTTTTTTTAATTTTTATCTTATGTTGGAGTATAGTTGATTAACAATGTTGCATTAGTTTCAGGTATACAGCAAAGTGATTGAGTTATACATAAACATGTATCCTTTTGCAAATTCTTTTTCCATTTAAGTTATTACAGAATATTGAACAGAGTTCCCTGTGCTATACAGTAGGTCCTTATTGGTTATTTATTTTAAATATAGCATTGTGTACATGTCAATCCCAAACTCCCAATCTATCCCTCTCCCCAACGCTTCCCCCTGGTAACCATAAGTTTGTTTTCTAAGTCTGTGAGTCTGCTCTTTAACCTGCTGGGTTTTATGTTTTTCCTGTTTCCCGAGGTAGGTGAGTCTGTGCCTATGCCCCTCAGCAATACCTATCCCTACTGCAAATTGTTACTACAGAGGTGTGGTTCCCACATATACCATGTCTCCACCTTTACCTCTCATTTCTATCTGGTCATTTTATGTGCAATGGCTGTTCAATCAGCCCTCAAGAATTGCTCTCTATATAGGTGTAGATTTGGTGTGTCTATGGTAGGAGGTGAGCTAAGGGTCTTTCTATGTCACTATCTTGGACGCCTCTCCTCCCAAGATGTATAATTTAATACATATTTTTTGACACAGCTGTGTTGCCTAGATATGCTCCAGCATGAATGAGTTCTGGTTGCCATAACTCTTTTCTCCTCTGAAACCTTGCTAGAGAGGAAGACACTTAGAGATGGTTTAGTCCTACTCTTCGCCACCCTCCATTTTATGGATAGGTCACCATAGGCCTAGAGAGGAATAGACTCATGCCTAGGACCAGCAAGTCACCCTAGAGCCAGGCCAGGCATTCAGTTTAATAGGGCTCTGATTGAAGGTTCTCTGAAAACCTGAATAATTTAGTTTGTCCTTTTTCTTCTTGGCTGAAAACTTCTCAAAGAAGGAAGCTGACCTGTTATTCTTCTTCTGCCTGCCTCTACAGCTCTGGGTGAACCAGGAGGATGGGGTGGAGGAAGGGCCCAGTGACGTTCAGAATGGGCACCTGGACCCCAACTCAGACTGCCTTTGTCTGGGCCGGCCACTCCAAAACCGGGATCAGATGCGAGCCAACGTAATCAATGAGATCATGAGCACCGAGCGTCATTACATCAAGCACCTAAAGGACATTTGTGAGGTAGGCCCAGCTATGATGGTGCATGTGAGGGCACTCAGGGTGGGGTAGAGGGTACTTCCATGAAGAAATGACAACCTTCCTGGGCCATACCTGTGAAAATCCCAAGATATTAGGAAACACAGCTTGACTGACCTCCTAGATTCTGTTCTGTGGGTGAGACTCCTCCCATGGGGTTTCTCAGTCTCTGTTTATTTCTCCCCTTTTTGCTATCTACCTGTCTGTCTAACTTTCATATTCATATTCCCTCCCCCCCCCCCCCCCCCCCTCCGCCACTTTCTCCCCTTGGTGTCCATACGTTTGTTCTCTACATCTGTGGGGTTCTAGGGATTTGACTTAGGTATCTTTTTCACTCTGCCACACCTGGGATGGCTAATAACAAGGCATGTTGAAATACAGGTTGCCCCCCCCCCCCCCCGCTCTCTCTCTGCCTCCCTCTGTCCCCTCTGCCGGAAACTCTATCCCTATCCTCTTGTTTTCTGATCCAGTTTTTGCCACCCCATGTAAGGGCCTGACTTCATTACAGCAAAACACATTTCCTGCCAAGCTAGTGGTTTATAAACTTGAATGTGCACAAAAGTCCCTGGGCTAGCTTGTTAAACATGCAGATTCTAGCCCTCTTTGACCCCACCCCCCACGCAAAGTTGTGAATTCTCAGCCTGGGATAAAACATGGAAATCTCTATGTTTTGCAAGTATCCCTGGTAATACTTGTCTTCTACTATGCCACTCTACCCTCCAGGGACTGTGGCTCCACATTGTCTAACTCCATCCCTTCCATCTTTCTGACCTGAGTGAAGATGAGAACCTTTTTTTTCTCACACTGCCTTGAGTCCAGCAGAGACAAGTTGGAATTTTCAAAGGACCTTTTACTAAACAGTATGAGAAAACCAATGAGAGATAGAGAAAATAATGTTTTTAGAAGGATTTCTCTCCACCCCCCTCTCTCTCTCTCACACACACACACACACACACACACACACACACTATAGCATTATGCTTGACCCAGTGAAAAACTCTACCTTGAATATTTTCATCCCCTTTATTCCAGATAAGAGATCAGGTCCTACTTTCTGTCCTCCAGCCCTACTGATTAGGTCCAGGGCCCACTCTGTAATCAATGGTATAGCTCTGACATTTTTTAAAGTTCTTGTTTCTTTAGAGCAGTGCTGCCTAATAGGAAACAGTGCTTCCTGCAGTGATGAAAATGTTCTGTATCTGCAGTCTCCATTACAGTAGCCACTGATTAGATATTTGTGGCTGTTGAGCACTTGAGATGTGGCTAGTATGACTGAGAAATGGAATTTTAAATTTTATTTCATTTTAATTTAAATAGCCACACGTGACTAATAGCAACCACATCAGACAGTGCAGCTCTGAAAAGATCAAGACCATGGACTTTGGGCCTTAACTTTCTTCACCTAAATTCATTTTTTCACCCCTTCCAGGCAGGTTAAAGGTTATCTCCTCCCCCTGCCCCAAGGCAGTAAGGTAGGGTAGAAAGAACAAGGGCTCTGTGGACATGGAGTGCTGGCTTGCACATCTTAACTTAGTCACTAATTAACCCTGTGGCCTTGAAGGTGCCTCTTAACTCCTCTAACTTTTGATTTTATGACTTGTCCAGTAGGCTTCATTTTACCAACCTCTTAACTTTATTGAGGAAATGAAGTAATTCTAATATTATATTTGGGAAAAGGTAGTTTTCCTTTTCTTCCTTCCCTTTTCATCTATTCACCTATCCATCATTGTCTCTCTTTTATCTTTTTCTCTTCCTTCTACCTCCATACAAATGGTTGATGTATTTTTTAATTACCCTGTTGAATGTGTTACGTGGCATTGGGCATCAAACCACTGATATGCCATTAATTCCACAAACATTTAGTGGAGTTCTGCTCCATGCTAGGCCTTGGACATAGCTCCTACACTCAAACTGTTCTGCCTTAGACCAATAGCATCTGAATCACCTGGGAGCTGGTTAGAAATGCAGAATCTTTAATTCCACTCCAGACCTGAGTTCAAATCTACATTTTAACAAGGTTCACATTTGACTTACAATACATATTAAAGTTTGAGGAGCACTGCTGTAAAATGATAGCTATCTTACACTATTTATAATAGCAGGACATGGAAGCAACCTAAATGTCCATCAACAGAGGAATGGGTAAAGAAGATGTGGTACATATATAAATGGAATATTACTCAGCCATAGAAAAGAAATAATGCCATTTACAGCAACATGGATGGACCTAGAGATTGTCATACTGAGTGAAGTAAGTCAGACAGAGAAAGACAAACATCATATGATATCACTTGTATGTGGAATCTTAAAAAAGGCTACAAATGAACTTATCTACAAAACAGAAATAGAGTTACAGGTGTACAAAATACATTTATGGTTACTGCAGGGTAAGACAGGGGATGGATAAATTGGAAGATTGGGATTGACACATACACACTACTAATAGAATAGGTAACTAATAAGGACCTACTGTATAGCACAGGGAACTCTACTCAGTATTCTGTAATGGCCTATATGGGAAAAGAAGCTGAAAAAGAGTGGATATATGTATATGTATAACAGATTCACTTTGCTGTACACATGAAACTAACACAACATTGTAAATCAACTATACCCCAATAAATTTTTTTTTAAATTATAGCTATCTTATAATGTCATAAGGTCTATAATACAAGTTAGTACAGTCTGGTTTTTACACAGCAGCCAAGGGATGATGTCAATACCTAAGTCGTTCATATCACTCCTCTGCTTAAAACTTTCCAATGGCTCACCTTTCCTTCCTGAGTAAAAGCCAAAGTTCTCATTATTACTTACAAAGCCCTGTGTGATCAACCCCCCCTTACCTCTGTGACTTCATCTCTTGCTCTTTTCCCACATGCTCTCACTACTTTAGCCACATGGCCTAATTGCTGTTCCTTAAAAAGGCCTGACACACTCCCCCCTCATAGCCTTTCCAGTGGCTTTCCCTTCTGCCTAAATCACTCTACCCTCAGATGTCTATGTGGCTCCATTTCTCACCTCCTTCAAGGCTTCACTCAAATATCATCTCCTTGAGACCTTCCCTGACTATTCTATTTAAAATTGTAACCATGTACTATCTTGTTTTATTTTTCTCCATTGCACTTACTGCTTTCTGACTTATTATATATTTTGCTTTAATGTTTTGTTTATTGCCTTTCTCCCCTACTAGAAAGTAAATTCCATGAGGGAAAGGTTTTTTTTTTTAATTGATTTACTGATACATCCTCAACATCTAGCACAGTGCTTGGCAGATGGTAGATGCTCAATAACTACTTTTGAAAGTTGGAATTAAATTTAAGTGCTCACGTGCATGTACTATTTTGGCAAAGTACATTCACATCTTATGCCATTTGATTTTCAGACAGGAAATAGGTTTTTATTGTTATTCCTATTTTCTAGATCAACAGTCTGCGTCTATAATAGGCAAAATTACTTTCCCAGAGTTCTCAGGCACTGGCCTAGTGGGAGTCTTAGTCTTAGAAGGATTTTGTTCCCAACTCCCAAACATCTTGGCCTTTTCTTACAGGGCATGGGCTCAGAACAGCAATGCAAGTATTTATCCTTCCAAAAGAGAGAGTGCTATGACCCTGTTTTGAGGAATTGCCTAATCCAGCCAACCTAAGCAAAGCTTTTGTTGGTGATCTGCGAGTTCCATATCTCTTTATTATTCTTGATGCTGAAGCTAAGGGTTTAAATGGGAATGTGAAGTATCTCTTTGTCCCATCCTTCAACCACAGATGTCAAAGGAACGTTTAGCTAGAGCAAAAGAAGGGTAGAGAAAGCTGTGTCTCGATGGGCCAGAAGGCAGTATTTTAGCTCAGGGTTGTGTTACCTAAACCAAAAGCTATGAGGAACAATATGATTTATAAGAAGAATATCAAAATTGGGAGTCCCAGGTTCAGGTCCCACCTTAGTCACAAACTGACTGAGGAATGTCAGGTGAATCTTTTCCATCCTGGACCTTGTTCCCCAACTCTAAAATTATCAGGTTGGTAGAGTTGCTCTTTAAGTGTTGTCTGACTCTTACTTTCTCTGATTCTGTGAGATCTAGGTATGCTCTCACTAGAGAATGCTGTGGTAGTGATCCATGATTCTGCATGTTTTGCCATTTGCCCCTTGATACCCATGGAGGCATGAATGTGTTAACAAGGCATAATCTACTCTTTCTGTAGGTTGAGGGAGATCACTTAATACTGCATTCAGTATAGGAAAAAGTCACTATCTATTAGAAAATATTTATTTATTTATTTATTCATTCATTCATTTATTAATTACTCCTGGGAACAGAAAGTGCCTCACAAACATTTAAGTTACAGTACCTTCATTTTACAAATGAGGAAGTAAGAAACAGAGTTATTTTTATAAAAGTTATTCAGTGAAGCCAGTAAAAGAAAATATATTTTTTAATGAGTTCTCTGAAAAGATGACATTCTTCTTTCTAAATCCAGACAATGGGATAAAATAGTACTGGCTTAGTTCTAGGTCACCTTGACCAATGATTGGTGATATTACCTCTTGTAATCTTAGAAATCATATTATGATCAGGGAGACTGAGACACAGGGCAAGCAAAGCTAAATATGCCTTATAAAGTTGCCTCATCTGCCTCTCTAAGGAAGATCATCTCAGTCATCTGATATCTATGAAATAAATTCTGTCCTCAAATGCGTCCAGAAAAGCTGGAACTAGCTTTCCTCAGTCATTCATATTAGTGTCTTATACCCTTCACCATCAAGAAATTCTTCCTAGGTCTAATAGAGTTTATCATGCTATAGCTTCAAGACATTTGCATTTGATATGTTTAAGCCTGGAGTTTTCAAACTTACTGTTTTTTTTCTTTCTGTTAATTGCCTATCCTGATGATTTCCAATGGTCTTTACATCTTGGTGTATACATAGAAAATAATACATTGTATAAAACAGTAATATTTGTATAGCATACTAAAGTAAAAGGATGAGGCAGCTCA